CGCTCTTAAATATTTGAGTAGTAATCTCTCCGAAAGTTGTCGCAGAGCTGCGACGTGTCGGCAATCCTGTTATAATTTCTGCGGCTACGGGCCGCCGCGCCGTCTCGAAATTCAAATCGGGTTTTGCAGGCGCGCCTCTGGTAATTAGAAAGTTCATTACCCTGACAACAGATTGACAACGGCAGAAACCCGTATCTCTGCTGTCGCAGCTCGGCGATTCTATGAGGTCTCTCCCGGCTTTACCGCTTTAGACTTGCATCTATCTCCATTCGTATCATCGGCAGGTATCCGCTATTGATGGCAAAGCCCACACGCATCGCCCACTGGAAAACCGTCCATCCTACGTTCTACGTCAGAAACTCACTCGCGGATAACAATATCAATTGTTAACTAAAATACAAAACCTTCTCTGTACACACACATATATACAATATAAGCAAGATAGCTGTAACTATTTATTTCGTATGCGAGGATCGAACGTTGAAAGTCTTTGTTGAAGTAAACGTTATTCTTAGTCCCATCAATTTTTATCATTTTGTCGCAGCTGGATCTTAGAAGTGTTGTAGATTTAATATCCGAATAGTCTTTAAAATTGGATTATCATGTTTTAGATTATAACAAGGCCGCCGATTCGATTATGCATTATGAGATTTCGCAGAGCGGCGTCAAAATCACACAGTATATTCCAGGCACAGGACATGTCTGTAATATCGTTATCGGTTAACACAATTTTCACGTAACATCTTCGTCGCATAGGATACTACGAACTATATTAGTTTTATCAATTAATGAAACTAATCTAGCTAGAGAGAGCGAGAGAGAGAGAGAGAGAGAGAGAGAGAGAAAGAGAGACTAAAATCCTTTTCCCCAAATTATCAACTGACGCGTATTTCGATATTACAATATGAAAAATGCTAATGAAAAATTAAAAATTAAAATGTTAACACATTTCAGAGCAAAAAGAGATCGATTCTAAATTTTACTCAAAAGAGAGAGAAAAAAGAATTTATTCCTAAAATATTTCTCATTATATATCTTATACAGTTTATAATACATCATAATTCCTTGCATAAGTTATCTTGTTATAGTAATTAACATCGTATTACCTGTAACAGAAACTTATTCTGTAGAATGTTTACAAACTGCGACATGCGACAAGCAGCAACTGGCATAATGTCGTTCCGAGTGATATTATTATTTTGTTGCTCCGTGGAAGTTATCGCGAGAGACGATTTACTAATGCGCATCGAACATCATCCCTCGAATTTATTTTGCTGTCGTCGTTTCGCAAATTTTGCCGGGAAAGTTGATGTCGTCCCTGAGGGAGAAAAGTAATTGGAAAACATCGTGGCATGAACCCGACGGACGATGACACGATCCAATCTCGTCATTATTTTATTTGTTCAACTATACATATTGTCGAAACTATTCTATATATATATATATAATTCATGTCGATTAATATACGAAAAAAATATGACACGCTCGAACGCCGGAACATGTCCGCGGGGACAGGAAGAGAAATATATTTACTTTCTATTTTTTCATTTCTCCTATGCAAAAGGTGTAGTGCGAAATGTCATTACTAAGGGTGGGAATGCAATTCCGTACAATCTGAGCATCGAGAATAAGGTGAAATTAACTCTTCTATTGTTTAAGCACGCATAAAATAAAAATGACACCATCTCTCGATTTTATATCTAGATATGAATCAAAAGTTTTTTTACGTGTTTTACGTACGTTTTACGAAAGAACTACTTTATTTATGAATAAGTAAAACTAAAAGGGTGTAATATGCTTATCACATATGGTCTAAAGCACCGCGTGCTAATGCTTAAATATCGCAGTAACGTGGTTTGTTGCCACGCGGACCGACAGTGTTAATTATCCGGCCACAATACCATTCTCGGTTACGAAACACGAATTTTAATCGCAATTTTGATCTGCTTTACATAGTACACACGACTAAATTTATATTTTGTAAAAGTTCCATTATTTTGACAATAATAATCCTGATTAGAAGTAGATATATGTAACTGCTTCTAATCATAAAAAATTAGTCAATAAAAAAAGATAAATCTCTCACAATAGGAGAATATAACAATCGAAAATTACTCATTCTGATAGATACGAGTATATAAAACGATCAATGCAAAACATAATACAAAATAATAAGTCAAAATCGTTCACGAATTTTCATCCCTTATATTTCTTTCCAGTCAGAGACGGTGGGGCAATGCATGTGGGACATGTTATCTTACGAATTTCCTTCGTAGAGAAAAGTTTTATCATCTGATCATGGCGGACAACCCGCCGCGGTAATGACGGGTCCGTTTTTTTTTTTTTTTTTTTTTTCAAACCGCCCCCCATAGAATAGAGTCATACCGTAAACTCACGGTGAACAGCATCGACAATCGTGAAAGCTTTCATTGAGCGCCGAAATGGCATTGTGTGTGTGTTTCAGCAGCATCCGAACGCGACTAACAGTAGCGAGACGAGCGTGGGTGGCGTGTCGGGTGCGTGCGGAAGCAGCGGCATACCGGCGCCAGGGGAGGCCGGATGCAGCAGCAGGGGTGGCAGCAGCAGCGGCGCCGGCGGCGGGGGTGGCGGCGGCACCGGGGCCGGACAAGGCTGCGAGCAGGCCCGCGGGGGCCCGTCTTCTCACTCGAGGGAGAGCCATGCTAAATTCCGTCACGGCCTGCTGCAGCTTATGATCCACACGATCGATCCGCTCCACGACGGTCAGTCCCGCGCCGGTATACCAACTCCACACTCTATCACTCTCGCTTGCAGCTTATGGCTTTTCTGTTTAGCACGTCTAAATCTGCGGAAATACCTGTTCTCTCTGTCTCTTGCGCGTTTCGCGTCTCGTGTGAATGATAATAATACGCGAATAATTACATGGACACACTTGCGTCCACTTCTACGATCATTTTTAACTTCTTTCTTCGATACGATTTGTTGTCTGATGCTAGAAGCTTTTTGAAAAAAAAAAAACATATTGCAATTTTATTGTGATCTTGTAAAAGTCTTGTAATCTGCTCTCGATAACATTTACAAGAAAGGTTTAATCTTTTCATAAGCTTCGATATCCTGCACGTCGAAAAATGTGGAATTGTTATATCGTAGAAAGTATGCATATATATTTTCTTTTTTTTTTTTTAATAACAATTTTTAATAACAAATATATTGCACATGTAAAATATGTTTATTCAAAGCAATGAAACATCGAAGCTAATTTTTTCTTGCTAGAATAAATAAATGATATAAATATAGATGTATCTTTTATAGCTCTCTCTTTCTCTTTTATACAAAAAAATCAGACAAGATTGAAGTGGTCGTGATGTGAACACGCAAAAAGTTTAGCAGTGATAACAAAGTTCTCGCGGAATTTTAAATGGACATTAATAAATGCTTGATTGATTCCAATTAAGAACTTCTCGTAGTAGAATGACGCGAAACGCAGCTTATAACAAGATTTTTTCTAGCAACACAATTCTATCGCGACTTAACGAACTTCTCAATTATTACTTTACAATTATTAATTTTCGCTTAGATAACAGTCAAAAACATAATTGTGATGCTATCTGATAGCTTTTTTATTAGCTGTATGCATGTTACTTTGTAGAATTGATAGATGAGGCTTTTGCGATAGTATTAGTGCTGTAGGCAAGCTGAATCGCACTTTCGGAAGCTCGTTCCGACGACATTTCCTTCAGACAAGTCGCAAAATTTCCGACAGCTCGACAGATAAAGTGTTTTTAAATGTAGAACTATGTGCGACCATTTTTAATAAAAACTCCACAACTTTACGGAAACAGACAGACAGACTAATATATGTATACATGTATGCTGTATATATATATATATATATATATATATATATGTACGTGTGTGTATATATACTTAAACCTTTAATCTTTTCGAAAATTCACCGCGTGAGATAAAATTTCATTCTCGTAATTTAAATGCTGTAATTAAATTTCACACAGTAAGAGACCTCGCAGCTAAATTTGACTAATAAATTCACAATTTCTTAGTGATAAACAAGTAAAAAAAATAGTTATCCAAATTTAAAAAATTAATAATCTGTATAATATGTTGTGAAAACTTCAAATGAAAGATCTCAAATTAACATTTTCGGACATTGTAATTTATATTATCATTGGAAAAGAATTTTTTCCGGGAGATAAATCGTATACTTTAACAATTTATAATATTTGTAATTTCCATACAATTTTTATATTAACGCAAAAAACAGAAAACGCCGCGCAATCCCTCTTCTTTCTATAATTTAAAAATTGTTCAATTATTTTGTCATACATAAAAAACGAACTTGACATTCGAAAGGAACGGGAATCACGCGGAAACAGATTAAATGGGAAGCTCTCTTTCTTCTGCACATTTGCTCTTTGCACAGATTGTCAAGTCAAACACTGAGAATATTGTTCTAATGTTTGTCATAACGGAAATCTGAAAATGTGTGTGTAATAAAAACGGTGTACACATTTTCGGAATATGCATGTTGAGACTTGACAACTATAATTTCATGAAAAATGTAACTGTGTGCGTGTATATTAGTTTTTTGCTGCATTGAGTTTATTTGTGGGATTTACATTATGCATATCGATTGTAACGGTAAAAACCACTTAATGCACGATATATGTACTTACAATGCGTAAAGAACAGTGTGTTTGTATTTCTCGATTTCTTATAGCTATAGAATTCTAGAATCATACTATAACGGATTATATTTCATATGGAGTTATATGAAGTTAATTAAGTTATAAATATTATATTAAATTTTATTGACGTTACATCTACATATATGTATATATGCTATATAAACCCGATAAAAGCCCCTCTTGCAGGAATTTTGTATCGAACGCCCTTAGAGCTTGATTGGTTTAAATTTTCACTGTATTTGGGATGCGTCCAAAAATAGTTATCGATGACGAACGTGATCGCCGAAGAACGGGCCTCAGGTTATAGCCTGTCCATTAATAAATAATTCGGTGGAGATTGGAAGCGTAGAATGGCAATGCCATGATGATACTTCTCACTCTAAATTATTAACGCTAATTGTTTTAAATATTTAGTATGCACATTATATTTCGTTATTTCAAGCTCTTTATATTGACTTAAATGTCATTCCATAATAATTGATACTTAACGCCTCGTTTAACCCGTGTCAACGCTACGTTAGACTTTAATTTATTTTCTGTGCTGTAAAAGGAGAAACTCACTACTAAATAACGTAGTTTCTATATATTGAAGAACTTTGTTTACATGCTTACAAAGTATGTTTCCGTTCGTCTCATGAATAAATATTTTTACATATCCAACTATTTTCGCATCACTTCCCTCCTCCCATGCGTTCGTGACTGAATATTTTTTAGCACATATACACGTTTGCCGTCACTCTTACACATACTCATGACCATCGTGAATGTAAAGTATTTATTATTATATATGCATAATTTTAATCTAACTATTTATGATCGGAACTAAAACCGAATAAATTCAATGAAAAAAATTGTTAATAGTTAAACAATGAAAAAATTTGCTTTGGTTTGATTATAACGTGAATCTCATTCAATCGCCACGTCAATGAGTCTTTCCATTAAATGCTATATCGTAAATAATTCATAAGACTTGGACTAAAATACAGTTAATCGATAAGAATTCCATCTGATATGTCGAGAAAGCTTTGAATACGACTTCATTCAAGTTTATCGTTACATGTACGATCAATGTCATTGCAAATAGTTGTCACGACTGGATTTTATATAACATCCTTGCAACTATAGATATTCGGATCATTAAATTATTGATTCCTCCGCTGAACAGTACTCGTATCTTCGATCATTATGTCGAATCACGATTAAGGACGGAATAAAATTTTGTTTTATTAAAGACGCCTGATACGTACGAGAGGATATTAGATATACGCAATCGCGATATATATCGACGCTATTAGAGAACGTAGAAAGATTAAATGCGCGTCGATACGACGCGTGAAAGCATCGCTTTGGTACGACAGGGACTAACAAATGAATACGAGTCCGTGATATTTCTCTCTTGTTCGCGGACATTCTGTATCCGCATTTATAGATCAAAGCGCGCTTTGAGGGAACATCATTTTATTGTGATACCGTGTGTCACAGTTGCCGTATACGCGTGAGCGCGGTATTAACAAAAGCGGAAAATGGAAAATGCGATAACCTTTCCATTTTCTGAACCACTCCAGATTACCGGATTAGTTACGACGCAACGGCCCGAATTTTGCCTCGTCTCACTGAAAAACCGCGCCGTGACGCGCGACCCTTAACTCGGTTCTCCGACGTATAGATCCAATGCTCATCAATCTTATTCGTTATCGATAAATAGATAATGTATAAAACAGAGCGACGGACCATTTAGTACGCGCACAATCGTAAGAGACGAGAAAATCTTCGTGGAAAATGTCGGCTTAAAGGCAACGTGCGATGTATCATTTAAGTTCGTTTTGCAATTCCGGTTAATGCTTTATTAATCCAAACGCGGAAAAATGGAGATGGAATTCTTTGAAAGAAACAATCTCGCTGTCGACATACACTCTCTTTGACTCTGTTATGTCTGTATTAATACGAATAAAAAATAAGTACATTTCAAATTTTATCTTAGTGGATAAAACGCGACGGCGGTGGCAAATCGCACGAAAGGATCTAATAGATGGTCACCCTTTTCTTCGCAGTAGTAGCGTGTGACCTGACCTATTTGTGTAACCGTCTTCAGCCTCTATGTACGTACATAGACGATTCCAAAATCAATCCTACGAGGTTGCCGGGCTCGCTCGTGAATTAAGATCTTTATCAATCTCATGCCGTGCACGAGCTCTCTGTACATAATTTAACGGTTAACAAACGCCGTCGCACGAATTCATTTGAGAGCCGCGGAAAGAAACGGATCTCACTCTGTCGTTTTTAAAAATAAATAATCCGATTAGATTGATCCGATAATTCTAGGGTTGAAGGGATCCTGGAAGAAGAAAAGATATCGGCGGGTTTAGAAAAATTTATTTTTCCTTCGTTTCAGTGAAAATATCATTCGGAAACAGAAGAAAAGCGACGTGATTGAGAAGCAATTATAATTATATAAATTATTGATATTCGGAAATTATTACTAAAAAGATTGTATCGCCGAGAGCTTAAAAGGTACTACAACAATTTATTATAATTATTATACGACGATTGCAGAATCTTTTGTATCGCGCGATTCATCTGAGAGGCACGGCAATAAATGTGTTGCCAATGTTCGTGTATTACAAAGATATCGGAAAGGATGGATAATCGATCTATTGTACAGAGTACATAATCATAATATTACATGCCGATATTACATACCGAGCAATTCCGCCTTAGGCTGATAAGTCGCGGATTACGCCGGTAAATTATCCTCGATATTCCTTCCTCCCTTCTGTGACAATTGTATTTCGTGTCTAATGCATGTACGTCGTTGTCGTCTCTTTTTCGTCAAATAATATGCGCATTATTCTCAAGAGATTAATTGTAAACGTTTTTACGAGCGTATGTCGTGCCGGTGTCATCACTCGTTTAACAAGGGTCACTAGTGGTGATAATATTTAATGAATCATACCTCGTTGAGGTGATATTTACCGCATAAATCTCAATTTCTTCTTTTTTCAAAATCGTCATTTTCGAGCGTTTCGCTCCAATTCTACTATAATAGTAACTCGCGACACGTACTCATCATG